TCCCGACAAATAGGCTCCTGTCAATTTGGCTCCCGAAAAAAGGACCACTGACAATACGGTTTCCGTAGAGACTAAGTCTCCCGGCAAAACAGTCTCATTGAATATGACACCTGCCAGTGGGACCCCTTCATCAATATTCTTTAGAGTTAGCTTATCCAACACTCTTGTTCGGCAGGCCTTATATTTATAATAGTTTATCTATTGTAAGAAATAGTATGTTTTAATTTATGGGTCATCTATCTTTGACTTCCATAAGTGAGTCGATTATAGGCTGTTCCAACTCAGTGTGTGGGGAGAGGGGTCCACGCTGTACATTCCTACCTGCAGTATGCTTGTGGGTTATCAAAAGAAAATGTTGTTATCCTGTAAACATCACGTATATCACACTTCTGTGCTCGCTTTTAACCAACAGATCTTTTCTGTTGTAAATTAAACATTATCACAATTTTAGAATTGGTAGAATTTAGCCGTTAAGGGCTAGATTTGTTTGTGAATTTATGTTGGTTCATGGAAAAAAATTTCATGCAGGCATTTAAAAGAGGTAATAGTGGTAGTGGATGTAGGACACATGGTTACTTTTATGCCATGCAATAGTGGTAATACGATTAATTTGTCTGGAGTCAATGTGCCGGGAGTCATTTTGTCGGTAGCCAATATGTCGTGAGCCCTTATGTCGTGAGCCAACATGTCGGGAGCCGCTTTGTCGGGAGCCTATTTTTCGGGAGCCTAAATGTCGTGAGCCCATTTGTCGGGAGCCTATATGTCGCGAGTCAGTATGACGGGAGCCCATTTGACGGGAGCCAATAAGTCGGGGCCCATTTGACGGGGCTATTTTGACCGGGTCGTTTTGTAGGGGGTCGATTTGACTGGGTCATATTAACGGAGCCGTTTTGTCATTGGCCGTTTTGACTCATATATATATATATATATATATATATATATATATATATATATATATATATATATATATATATATATATATATATATATATATATATATATATATATATATATATATATATATATATATATATATATATATATATATATATATATATATATATATATATATATATATATATAAACGTGTAAGCACTTCTATGTTTTAAATACAATGTTTAGGTATGTTAATTTTTTTTGTTTCGAAACGAGATCAACGGCCGAACCTAGAAACAGGTGTTGGTACAGTTTTTCTGTATATATTATGTTTGATAAAAAAATAAAAGGTCGTCCATGTAATACGGGCAGCTAAAGGACGACCCCCACCCCCAGCGCTTCAGCGCTGTACAATCGACGTATTGGGAACAGATGCTGCTACATCAGCCGTTCTGAATATATTTTGTTTGGTAACGGAAATAAACTGGTGTAAATGTACTGACTGCCACTCGCAACTTTAGGACCTTCCCCCTCCCCCCACCCTATCCTGTTCCACCCTACACGCAGATATAATTCCTTCGCTCTTTATTTCATGTTTTAAAGAAGAAACCATTTATTTATTGAATCTTCATCCATTTCACCTAAAGAGTACCTTATAATACGAATCCACGGCAATAGGCGATAAACTTTTAAAACAGGAAAGGTGGAAGATAGAGTGGGGCGAGGATTTTCTTAACTGAGTTTTAGCCCATATCTTTACACATATTGATCTCGCTGACGTGTATCTACGTCACAAATGCTAATTAGCTGACGTTAATTTAAACTGTATAAAACGGGTTCACATAAACTCGTAATAGATATAGCGGGATAGTTAAGAGCCCCGTACGAAAAAGGGTTTAGGGGCCCCTGTACGCATGAGGGATTAATGCTCCAATATATATTATGGGTTTTGTGGCCCGGTACAAAAAAGGGTTTAGGGCTCCGGTACAAAGATGATATGGGGCCCCAGTAGAAAAATGAGATATGGGCCACGGTACATACAAAAGGTATTTCAAAACAGCAAGTCATGATGCTAATTTTCACTGTATATGCTAATTTTATTTTTTTAGAATTTCATTGAGTTTCATCAAGGATCATCATTAGAAACAGATACTAATACCGTCATTTTGGATAATTTATTTGTTTAGTAACGCCACTAACATTTTTAGATGCTTTTCGCTGTGACTAATGTGTGACGGGCGAAGGTCTCGAGTTTGAACGTTTGTCCGGAATCGATACTGCAGGACGTCACTGAGTCCACCCAGCTATAATGAGAACCTGAATAATACAATCTCATTAAAAAAAAGAACCCCCTATTAAATGTTTTAAAATCGTTTAATAGTGGTATTTTTAAAAATACTAGTATAATTCGCTTTGATTATAAATATATTTATTTTCATATTAATATTATTGAAAATTTTATAATTTAAGCCTAAAAAAAATCTTAACACAAACTCAGAGGCGTAGCGACCCTTCCCGGCGCCCGGAGACAAACTTTTCGATTTGCACCCCTCCCCCACCCCCCTCAAGATTTCGATTTGCACCCCCCTCAAGATTTCAATTTGCACCCCCTCACCCCACACCACTCTTTCAATTTACACCCCCCTCAACCTTTCAATTTATTTTTCCAACCCATTTTGGAGCCCCCTAAGGTCGGCGCCCGAGGACATCTGCCCCCCCTCCCGCTACGCTACTGCACAAACTCAAACCCCTATATAAACTGCCACCACCCTATATAATGCCATCACTCTATGTAATGCAACAAACACCCTATATAATACCACCACCTTCTTACATAATACCACTACCACCATGTATAAATCTCACCACCAACCTCAAAATGTCACACCTCTCGTGACGCTAATGCCTTCACACGCCCTCATGTAGCAGTAGAGAATTAAGTAGAACACATTTTACCTCTAGGAAATGGCGCGCAGTCAACCCCTGCAAATGGATGTCTCTGTGTCGTAGATCTGATCACTGAGTAATTCACGGATTAAACATAATTGTTATCTTTTTTCAATTGAGTAGTTCATTAAATAAATATTTAGAGGGTTATTTTTTGAATTTTCAATATATTATTTATGTTGATTCATAAATTACAAACGAAGTGATAAACTATTTATTTAGAGGATTTCAATTGTTTTTAATCGCTAAACGTAATTTTTCCCCTTTATAATTAACGTTTTTTTTTAATGGAACCAATAATGCACGATCAAATAGTTAGTCAAGAATAAAAAATAAAAAGATGCCTAGTTATCATATATGTCATAGCTCTTCTTCTTCTTCTTCGTTCTTAATTATTAGTGTTGAAGGGGATCGAGATTTATCTGCCAGTGGGTTTGAACTCGAGACTTATTTCGAATTTATCAACCATGAGCTTTTTGCCGACTCGACCACGCCTCCAACACAATTAAGCGTTACGTGTCAACTGGTTATGCGCCATTGAGGCCATTGACTCCGATTTCAGCCTGCTTTTCTTTTTGGATTTGCTTCCATAAGCTTTGTCCAACCAAGAACAAATTACAAGGCAGCAGTTGTTTAATTTTGGAGTTGTCTCTCCTAGAAGAGTGTCTGTCCCCAGCTAACGAGCCTCATCTGCCCGAGGGTTCGAAGTCGAGACTTTTCGGTTTAATAACCATGAGCTTTACCGACTCGACCACGCCGACCCCTCGCGGGATTCGAACTCGTGACTTTCGGTCTACCAGTCGTATACTCTACCACCCGACCACGCCGCACTGTACTTAGCCAATAGCCGTAACTAAACGTGAGAGGGCCATCATACAGGGGAGCCACTGCTAGTAACGACGTGATGATAGAGAACACAATGAAAACTGGGATGTAAAACTTCAATAAGTGAATACAATTTATTTAAATATTGATATAACTAGATGCTTAGATTGAAAAATTGTTTTCGTTACAAAAAGTCTTTGTTTCCTAAAATTAACCTGACCCCCACTCATCCACCAAAACTGTATTTTTAAAAGCGAGTTTAATTAGTCCGATTTCTAAAAAAAAAGTGTAGTTTCCCTTGATACAGCTATCGTTTACTGTATGGTAACTATGTTAAATGTAACCGAAATGATCGGTAATTACTATTTAATACTGATAATTTGAGTACAAATGATAAGTTTATTATTTGGATAACTTGTAAATTACAAAAAAAAAAAAAGACTTTACTAAAGAGAAGAAAATTCATTCTGAAATCCAGTTTAAAAATAAATAAATTACAAAAATGTGACTTTACATTTTTTTTACCCCCCCCCCCCCCTTACTTTGGTCACACGTCGTCCCCTTAAGCCCGACACCCCTTCCATGAATCACCATTTATAATGACGCTAATCATTTGGACATATTAAAAACGGCTGTCACAAATAAAACCCCAAACAAAATCTTTGTCTCTTTCTATCCCTCTACAAAAAGCCCTCGCCCACCTCGTTTGCACGAGTTACATCTTCTTTTACAAGCCAAATTATCAGGAGCCAATCTGTCAAAGGTCAAATTTTCGGAAGCTTTATTTTCTGGATTTAGTATGACGTCCTTCAGTGCCCAGTGCAGATAGGGTCATCCTTTAGTGAACACATGGGTTCGTCCTTCAGTGCCCAGCATGGGTTCGTCCTTCAGTGAACACATGGGTTCGTCTTTCAGTGCCCACCACACATGGATTCGGCACAAAACTTTGTTCCCATTTATCTGACAATTTTTATGGCGGTTCCTCAAGATAGTGTCTTGCCACTTGATACTTTGTCATAGTTTTCATCGGCATAATTGTTCCATAAGTGAAGAACAGCATGTTTTTAATGTTAAAACTTCAGGATTCTGTTTTTATAGCGTTTTGTTATTAGAAAGTAATTTATTAATATCTAGTTAGAAGTAGAAGTCCGCATCACTTCGCCACTTCCATCACCACTGTGGGCGCACATGACATCTGTGTTTATAATTCCTCGTCGTTCCTTGGGTACCATAAGGCCTCAGTTCAAACTTTCCACTTCACACAGTCACCCGATGCTGTTTTTGTGGATATACTGCAAAGCACTGCCGGCATCAAGACCACATGTACACTACAGATACCAGCAGTTCTAAATTTAATCGGTTTTCCTCTTTGTTTTACCCCACAAGCACCGCCTCACTCCTCGCCAGCAACACCGCAACACCACAAACAGAACAACCAGAACTACCACCACGACGACAGCAACAAAACCCATGGTATCCAGACCAACTAGCTGGTACAACGGCAAATCCAACCCAGCCGAGCGCATGTACTTGCCGCCATATTCCATCACGTGATCGATCCAGTACGCCGCCGCTTCCGGTGGAAGCTGGTACAGCTGATGAAAAAGTTGTGACGCTTTTTTTATGCTGTTTTTATATTTATCGTTGGTTGTTATTTTACGGATTAATTTAACGAAATCTTTATCGGATAAACGCCGGATGTCGGCCGTAAGTCCGAAATTTTTCAGGTCAGATCTACGAGAATTGTAGAACTGTTCTCCGAAAATCGGCAAGCACAGCATGGGTATCGCGTTATACAGGGCCTCGTACTGAATGCTGTTGCCGCAGTTCGATACCACCAGCCTCGTTTTGGGGTGAGCCAGAACGTCGTTCTGCGGAACCCAAAGCGAGGTTAAAATTTTCTCCGGGTCAGGCGAGGTCAAGTTGACCTTCCAAACGACGTTCATGTCGAGTTGGGAGAATGCTGACGTCATCTGGTCGATGACGTGGCTGGGAATGTTGACGACGCTGCTCCCGAATGTCGCGAGAATGATCCCGTTTTGAGAACCTTCGGCAAAAGTTCTAAAAGGTTCTTCCAGCGGATGTGGCCTAAGAACCGCAGTGCTGCCTATCAGTTTCATATTCGGGAGTTCCGGTTTAGCAAAATCTAAAATATGATCGCTCTCAATAATAAACAGTTCCGCCTTCAACGACAACTCAACGACTGATATCTTCGGCTTATGAGGCGCAAACTCAACCACCAAATCATCATCCATGAAATAGTAATCGATAATCGATAAACATATATTGCAAACCGCAGTCCGGAGACGATCCAGGAAAGACATATCGTGGATATTGAATCCACGGTATCCAAAACAGGCTGTGGATGAAGGGCTAAATGGAACTCTTTGCCCAATCAAATCGTTGAAAGGGCTGAGGTACACAAAAGCCACGCCCAAGATATGAGTTATCACAACAAAGTTCCTAAAAGGCGGGGAGTTTGTAATGACGAATAAATCTGGCTTTAACCCTTTCAGTCTTGCCATCAGGTTCTGATCAGATAGAATTTGTTTGACAACGCCGTGCGTGGTTTGAAAAAAGCTGACGTAATCTCTCAACCCTTGGTTCTCGCCTCTCCAGAATTTTTCGATCACCTCCCCGAAGACTTGTTTTTCGAAATTTTTCAGGTATTTCCCGTAGGGGATGACCTTGACCCCATCGACGTTGACCTGGTTCTGGTCCAGCATGTACCTAGGGATGCAGACATAGGCGGTGTGGCCCAGGCTGACCAGGGACCTTCCCACGTTTGTGTGGGTCCGCACATTGGAAACGTGTGGGATGGGGAACAGCACCACAACTTTGGCAACGATTACGTAACTTGACAGGAAGTAGCTTAATGTCAGCAAAGTGAAAGTTGGACTCAAGATCGCGTGCTTGAATTTCCGATGTTTCTCCATACTAAAAATTTACGTCGATCAATCCTGAAAAAAAAATCAATGAAAATGATACACAACTAGATAAATGTTATAATTAGAAAATGTAAATTAAGCAACAATTCACTGCCTTTAACATGTAGAGACATTATTTCTCATGTTTTAATAATTGAACAGGGTTTCAGAGGAGTAGCGACCCCTCCCGGCGACAAACTTTCGATTTTCACTCCCCCCTCGAACTTTTCATTTGCACCCCCCCTCGAATTTTCCATTTGCACCCCCCCCCCTCAAACTTTCAATTTGGCGCCCCCCCCCCCCTAAGGTCGGGGCCCGGGGCCATATGTCCCCCCCCCCCCCGCTACGCCTCTGCAGGGTTTAGCTTGTTCTTTAAGATGTCAACAGACAAGTGCAGTTTTTAGGCATCTTTTATCTCAATTGCCCCTTACCCAGAAAGAATTAGAATTTATATTTTTAAAATATACTTTTAATTGTTTCGCCCCCCCCTCCCCCCATGAATGTTTGAAGTACCCACCCCCAACCTGGAAGAAGAAAGGTCTGAAAGAAACACCAATAGAGCTTGTTAGTATGTCACTAACTTATCGTTTTCGTACTTGCCAGCTAGCATATATATATATATATATATATATATATATATATATATATATATATATATATATATATATATATATATATATATATATAAGCGCCTATACATATGTATTATATATATATATATAATTTATTATACATATATTTTATATATATATATATATATATATATATATATATATATATATATATATATATATATATATATATATATATATATATATCTGGGGATGAGGAAGGACAAATTGTGAGCGAACCAACAAATAGGAATGATGATGACTCACAGTCAAGACAAAAAAAATAAAACAACGTGCTCCATGCTTCTGTCTAGGCATCTCAACATTTGTACACTTTAGCTACAAGACAAACTGAACATTGTTTTTAAAAAAAATAATATTCTTTATTAAAGTATAATCGTAATTTAAAATACTACATGAGAATAATATGTTTAAGTACATATTCATTATATAAACTAAAGCAACACACTAACTCGTAAATGAATTAACTAAAATGAATTATATATAGGTCTATTTAAAATAGAATATAGACATTGCGTATTGTTTTTAAGACATGGCATTTTAGTATTGAAGTACATGCGTTAATGTTCCTTATAATAATAATAATACGAAATGCTTTAATTGTTTGTAACAGCTTTTTATAGTATTTATAAAGTATACGTGTGAAGTGAAAGGTATGATAGGAGTGAATGTTGTGTGTACATTTTAACGTGACACGTCTGCAAGAGTTCAACCCTCGTGCCGTGAATTGTCTGTAATCACGTGGTCATTGTCGGGTGTATACTTGTTTGTGAAGGTGTACAAAACTGATATGGAATGTGTAAAATAACTGGGATATTATCCAGATGAGCCATAAGCCCGCCACTTTTCGCCAGCACACATACCTACGACCTTTACCTATTTCTAATTTCTAGACATTTGAATATTAAAACGCACGCCAAAAAAAAAAACCAAAAAAACTCCTTATCCGCTTTAAGGTTTAGGCTCATTGTTGTGTAAGTGTTAAATCCTAATCCTAAGTTTCATATCCTTTTTTTTAAAAATAATATTTTTTGTGTGGCGAGGCTTATCTAGACAAGATCCAATTACTGACATAATATGGGACGTAACTGTGCTACAATACGTTTACATATTTGAAAGAAAAACAATGCATAAATAGATTGAAAAACTGAAAACTGCTTCTAATGTCTATGCTCATGACATCAAATTAAAAAAATAAAAATTAATTGCAAATAAGGGACACAACTATTACATTTTCTATATTATCGTCATTATTTCCCCTGCAGATAAGTTTCAATATTACTCCTTTTTCTTTTTTTGAGATCTCTTGGAGGTTGGTAAACATTTTCTTGCCACGCGACAGCAGCATCGACAGATCTTGAACACAATCAGCACGGCTAAAGCTAAGATGGCGAAGAGAACAGCCAGTACGTCCAAGGAGAGATACTGATAAAGGGGCATTTGCTGACCAGCAGACTTCATGTACGAGCCGCCATACTGCATCACGTGATCCATCCAGAACGCGGCTGTTTTGTCGGGAGATTTGTACAGAAGTCGGTACAGCGCGGACGCCTTCTTGATGTTGCTGCGGTATTTTTCGTTTTCCGACACTTCCTTCATCAAATCAGCAAGTTCGTGATCAGTGATGTCAAGGATATTCGCTGTCAGGCCGTAACCTTTGGACTTTGACCTTTGTGCGTTGTAAAACTGATCGCCGAATAAAGGGACGCAAATCATAGGCACGCCGTGGTAAAGAGCTTCGTACTGTCCGTTCGCGCCGCAATGGGAAACGAAGAGCTTCGTGTTCTTGTGGGCCAGGATGTCGTTCTGCGGTACCCACGTCGACGTCAACATCCGGTCCGCGTTCGGTGAGGTCGTGTTGACCCTCCACACCACGTCCAGCTTCTGTTTTAGAAACGCCGACGTCATCTTCTTTATCACGGGCTCTGGGATGTTCAGGACTGTGCTGCCGAAGGTCACCACCGCGACGCCGTTTTTGGAACCGTCGAGAAATTTCTTAAACGGTTCTTTGAGTGGTCTGGCATCAGTTGCTGCGGTGCCGCCGATGCGTATCGTGTTGGGGAGCGCCGGTTTAGCGAAGTCCATGACGTGGTCGTTTTCAACGAGGTACACCTCCGCCATCAAAATCAACTCCTGCACTGATACCTTCGGTCTGTTGCTCGCAAACTCCGCCACCATATCACCATCCCCCAGCTGCGGTAGCACCAGCGCCAAAAATAAATTGCACACTGCAGTTTTAAATCGATCCACAAACGACATTCCTTGATCGGAAAAGGTGTCGGATAACTGACAAGCCGTTGAAGAAGGGCTGAAAGGTACTCTTGCGTCCGAGAGATCAGAAAACGGCGTCAGGAAAGCAAATGGAACCCCCAGCATGTAGGGCAAGATGACGATGTTTATAAACGGCGGGAATTTCGATATCAAAAACAGGTCAGGTTGAACAGACTTCAGTCGAGTTAGAAGATCCTGATCAGAGAGGAAGCGCCGTACCATACCTTGCATTTCTGGAACCAACTTGGACAAGAAAAATACAGAGGGATCCTGCCCCAGCCAAAACAATTCAGCGACCTTGGAGAAAACTTCCTCCTCGATATTCCCGAGGTAATCCCCGTACGCGATGACCTTGACCCCGTCCACGTTGATCAGGTTCCCGTCCAGCATGAACTGGGGCACGCAGACGTACACGTCGTGACCCATCTCCGCCAGGGCGCGCCCCACGTTGGTGTGGGTGCGGACATTGGCCAGGTGGGGCACGGAGAACAGCACCGCCACCTTGGCTTCGGTGTGGACGAGGACCTGTAGGGTTACAGCAAGAACAGCCAGAATCTTAAGACGTCCATCGTTAAACATAGCCATTGTGTGGTCAGGATTTCAGGAAATACGATCTGCTTGATTCGGTCGTATCATCTGTAGAACATTTAAAAGAAAAAACACATTAAATAAGAAAAAAGCATTCGTGTGGTTTTTCTAAGCTAATCAAATTTAATCAACTTGACATGACAGGAGAGAATTGAATTTTTATTTTTATTCTACGGGAATAGCGTTTAGAAGTAGAGTAACAATACTACATAAACTTTGTTTTTGATGTAGGAAAACTGAGAAATACCTTATTTTCAGGGTGTGTAATTTTGGGGAAAGGGGGTAGGGCATTGATTGAAGTTTATATTTTCTGTATATATATATATATATATATATATATATATATATATATATATATATATATATATATATATATATATATATATATATATATATATATACTCTGAAACTCTGCATAACAATGTTCGATATTGCCACAATAAAAATCTTTTTTAAAAGAAAGATTGTAATGTTACAGGCATAGTCAAGTTCTTTTTCGAACCTGACGATTCGTGAGAGAAGTGATGTAGGTTTCACCTGTTTCAATGACATCAGCTAATTACGTGATAGTGTGGTCAGCACTATCCCCAGTCGCCTGCGCTTAACCTAACGTGAGTATGACGTAACTGGTAAAGTGAACTAAAAACAAACATAACTTGCTAATGTCAATGATAACCCAAACACAAGTCCTACCATAGCTCATACCATAATTTTTGGCCGCAGTGTTTCTTTCAGACTTTTTTCCCGGGGCGAGGGGAGGTGGGGGCGGTCACTTAAATTTTTTTGAAGGGGGTGGATTAAAAAACTTTGAGGGAGAGGCGGACTAGTAAAAGTATAAAAGTATATATTAAAAGAATGTATATAAAAGTATCTATTTTCTATATAAATTCTATTTCGGGGGGGGGGGGGGGGTAGATGCCTGGAAGAAACTCTGGCCGCAACACTAGACACGATAATACGCATTTGCATTACTACTAACATTACTAATAGCTTAACACACCTATTTTTAGTTTTCGGACACTGGTAGCACCAGTACTCTTTTATTCTTTAGTCTATTCTGTAATATGGAGAAAAAAATGCAGCTTACCTGTATGATAAGTAATTGTTTAAATACGTGCAAAAAAAATAAACGTGTAAAGGTAATACAAGTACAGTGAGGGCATGATGACGGTTAAAAGGTCGTGTTATGAATACCGTATCAAATGAAGTAGGTCAGGATTTGTCAATAACCTTGGTTCGATCGAACCCCAGGGGTTCGGTGAGCCAGTCTCATGGGTTCGGCGGAGGTCAAGACACACACCCGACTCATGATTTAAGATCAGATTTTGCCAATGTGGACGATAGAATGGTTCGGTGAATGCGTATTTGAAACTGGTGAGGTTCGGTACCTCCAAAAGGATAAGAACCAGTGGCGTAGCGTGGTCGGGTGTCACCCGGTGCGGCACTTAATGGTGTCACCCCCAGGGGCGTAGCAACCCGGGGACAAACTTTCAAATTTTCGTTTTGCGCCTCCCCCCCCCCCCCAAACTTTCGATTTGCACCCCCCCCCCCCCAAGTTTTTCTATATATAGTGTGCTATTTTTTGCCTTGGTGTCACCGCCCTAAATGGGGTCACCCGGTGCGGTCCGCACCCCCCCCCCCCCCTTCATCCTCGCTACGCCTCTGATAAGAACCACTGCTTTAACATCATAACATTCTTAGTATTGGAAGAGTCCACTGTCGGACGCTGAAAGAAAAACAATCCGACTTCCCTTCCTCAAACATGTTACACATTCAATATTGATTGACCCAATAAGCATATGCTACTTAGGGTTACATTTAAATCTAGCTAACAATCGATACAGGAGAACATTCGCAGTTAGACTAACGCATTGATTATACGAATTTTAATCTATACACATGTAATCAAGGGATTAACTTCTTCACGGCAATAAAAAAGATTTTTAAAAAATCAAAACACGTTATTAAGAAAATCTAATAATTTTACGCGCGAAGCTAATACATTGATAGATTATTTAAAATACGGGCTTAATAATATACACACTAGTTAATGTAACAGTAGTAACTGACCTAAAATCTTGCATCTAAAATAATATTACCACACGTAGAAGCACATCCTGTCAATTACTGGACTACATTATTAATTCTTATTCCTAGTATTTGGGCTACGACAGGCATAATGCACCACAGATCTAACAAAACCTGGATGTTACTGTTAGGGTTACAGTTACAGTTTAGTATTTTGACGGCTGCCATTGTAACTAATTGTAGAGTTCTGTGAAAATAATCCACTTTAAAAATTCTAAATTCCCATTTACATTAATCAACTTTGAAGCTTACATTTTTGTTAGCTGTAGGCTACATACTATCTCACATATTTGATTTTCCCAATATATTATTCATTATTCTATTCCTAACCTGCATTTGACACGGTTGTAAGGTTTTTTTAAGCAACCAGTCATTTACTGTGGTTACAGTTACATCTATAAGCTAGCTAAAACTAAATCAAATAATGAACCTACTGTATACTTAAGTATACTAATTAATTAATTAATAACTTACACAGGTAGGAAGTGTGTAGCTTTGTAATCAACTACTGTGTAGTTTAGTGATCACTAGGTTTTAACTGTAACACTTAACAGCCAACTTTTGCTGAGCAGCGAAAACGACTGATGTAATACAAATACACAGGTAGCCCACAATAAATGTGGGCCCGAGTTCGATAAAAATATATTTAAAAACACACACAAACACACACACAGTTAGCTTAAGACTAGTGTTAGGGAGAACTCAAGAATTGTTAGACTACATATATTTTGAATCCACGTCTTCGTCGTCTTGTGTATAAAACATCGAAAACAGTACAACTAGGTCAACGGATAATTCCATAATTATTGATTAGGCTATACATCAAAACAATTGACATATTAAAATATAGATCTAGATCTAATACTGTAAATAATTAACTGCATTCCACCCACGTAATGCGTATGTCCAGAAATGAATATCCACATCAACGAAGAAACAGTGTGTTATGTTTTTGGTAACTAAATCCTCGAAGGCTATTTATAGCTCAGGGTTGCGTGCACTTTTATCGGGGAAGAAGAGTGCACAGTTCACCGTTAGATTTTAGTCTAATTAGTTAGAACGTTTTAAATGATAAACTAATGGTGTCACGTGATATGGCTGACTGATACCCTGACGTGTAAGACACGCGGCTGTGTGGTTCGTTCATCCGTGTGTCGCATGCACACACAAAAAAAAGTTACACCGTTTCTTATTATTGGCTAAGGACGACCTTGACATACTTACTGGGTAACACTATACAGAACGGCCGTGTTGTGTTAGTGTGTGGACCGTCTTGCGTGCTAAAGATTTGTGCCGGCTGTGTCAGCGGGTAGGTCGTGGTTTGAATGGACTGTCTGTTGACACGAGGTTGTCGTCTGAACAGGCTGCTTGCCTGTCGTTTGAAATAGACTGGTTTTTTATATTGGGTTGACTTTTTATGGACAAGCTGTTGATAATCTAATATATAAAGCTCAATTCTGTAACGCATATGTTTGTCGTTGGCATTTCTACGGATTTAAGTGTTAGATCAATTATCGTGCGCGTTTGTCTAAAGTTATGAGTTAAAAATTACTATTAAAAGTGTTGGGAAATCATTTTCATTTTTCAAATTATAGTAATAATTGTCGGCATGTTCATTAAACACAAGTTTTAAAAAAATATCATCTTTTACAAAAATTCTAATTATGTTTTTATTTAGTCCTATAGCGCTTACTTCCCTTTGATAAATTAGGCAAAACACAATTACTTCCCTTTATGAAACCATTGCATTAGTTGAAAAGCATTTACTTTTTAATTACTTTGTTTTGGTGTTGGGAAAAAAATAATTACATAATTAGCGGGGATTGATCAAGTGCAAATGTTTTAGGTATTTTACGGATAAGCTTGGAGTATTATAATTGTTCATTAAATTGAAACAGGCGCGTTCGTTTAAGTGAGTGCAAAAACTATGAATAAGTTGGGGTACTATAGTCGTTTATTAAGCTAAAACAGGCGATTCTGCCCCGGGCGTTTATGTTCGCGTTAGTGTTTTCTTTGTGTTTAGGTGGGTTTGCGTTAGTGGTTGCGTTTTGATTTGGTTCGTTTTTGTTCTTTCTTTTTTCGTTTTTGTTTGTGTTTTTTTTGTTTGGGTTTGTATTTGTGTTTTTGGTTGGTTTTGCGTTTGGATTTGGTTTGTTTTCGTTTGCTTTTTCGTTGTTTTTTTTTTTGGTATTGGTGTTTGTGGTTGGGTTTGTTGTTAGGTTTTTGTTTTCGTTTGTTTTTTCTTTGTGTTTGTATTGGTGTTTGTGGTTGTGGTTGGGTTTGTTGTTAGGTTTTTGTTTTCGTTTGTATTTCTAATTGTGTTAGCGTTATGTTTGCGTTTTGTTGTTTTGGTTGGTTGTGGTTTGGGTGGGCAATGCCGGGTTTATGATGATTACTAAACACACAGGTAATGGTCTTTAACGGAAAGGTTTTTCACAGAAGCCAGAGCAGGGCCTGGCCGGGACGGCTAGTATGATATAGATCTAGGTCTAGATAAATTATCTAGATCTAGATTTTAGCTTTTTTTAAATTCGGATTGTCGTTGGAATATAACCTGATAGGCAGCGTTGTGGTTTTTAGGCCAAATCCACTGGAAGAACCTTTTAAAACTTTTGCCGAGGGTTCTCAAAACGGGATCATTCTCGCGACATTCGGGAGCAGCGTCTTCAACATTCCCAGCCACGTCATCGATCAGATGACGTCAGCATTCCCAACTAGATCATCAGTGGCGTAGCCAGGATCGGCTCAAGGGTGGGGGGGGGGGGGGTTCCAATTTTTACCCGGGGACAAACTTTCGATTTGCACCCCCCCTCAAACTTTCGATTTCCACCCCCCTCATACTTTTTATACATATACCCCCCTGCCTACGCCACTGTAGATAATAATTAATTAGGAGTAGTACAATGTATATTATTGTATATGCCTATCGCTTCTCTAGACATCTCAGGCTCGAGACCGTAGGATGTCTCTGAGTTCACCCAGCTCTAATGGGTACCTGACTCACGTTAGATAAATTAATTAGGACTAAAACACTGACCTTTCAAATGAGCGAGACCAGAGAAACAGGTGAACGCTACTTTACCTGACCGTTGGAACTCCAGGACCCATGTCGTTTGTTGTCATTGCCCTATACAGAGGCGTAGCGAGGGGAGGGTAGGGGGGTGCGGACCGCACCGGGTGACACCATTTAGGGGGGGTGACGCCAAGCCAAAAAATAGCAAAATATTTAGAGAAAAACTTGAGGGGGGGGGGGGGTGCAAATCGAAAACTTGAGGGGGGTGGTGCAAATCGAAAGTTTGAGGGGGGGGGGGGGTTGCAAATCAAAAATTTGAAAGTTTGTCCCCGGGAAGGGTCGCTACGCCTCTGGGGGGGGGGGGGGGGGGGGTGACACCACTAAGTGCCGCACCGGGTGACACCCGACCTCGCTACGCCACTGACCCGATATAAAATGTAAGACGTTTTATGGGAAGAGACAGTTTTAATTTCTTTATCAGCTCTTTTGGTGGCCAGTATCAACGTCATCCATAGGTGATGCTAGAAGATGGTTATTGTACCTGGACATAGTAGCGTACGCAGGGGGTGTGGGGGGCAGCTGCCCTCCCACCTACGACCATTTTAAGGATAGTGGCACCTGTTTTGGGGAATAATTAAATAATATTTAAAACAACTTCGGCAACACACACACACAAACAACAACAGCAAACACATTAATAGAAATACGAATTAAAAACAGTTATGTTATGTACCCTAAATATCACATTTTTAATAACTCATCGCAAGTTATGTACCCTAAATATCACATTTTTAATAACTCATCGCAAGTTATGTACCCTAAATATCACATTTTTAATAACTCATCGCAAGTTATGTACCCTAAATATCACATTTTTAATAACTCATCGCAAGTAGATATACAGCCTACTTCTTGGGTTACTCATCGGCGCCTAGCTCAGCGCCAGGCATGTGCAAGGTGCTTTTTTGTTACAATATCTGTCCACTTTATCGCCTGTACATCAGCTGTTTGTGTTATTCCTACTGGATATACACCGTCAACCACCTATAGATTGATCTTACTTCACAAGTCTTTGCTTGAGTTGTCAAGCTCAATTCAGCCATCCATCTTAACTTTGGGTTTTAAGATCAGTCGAAAAACGTAGGGCAATTGTTGACCTAAAGTGTGCCCCGTAGAATACGGTTTCCTCATCTAACCCGAAAAACCGGTATACGCCTCTGACTGGGCACCAGAGACGGGCTCAACCACCCCCTCAACCACCCCCTCAACCACCCCCTCAACCACCCCCTCAACCACCCCCTCAACCACCCCCTCAACCACCCCCTCAACTTTATAACCAATGTGAAAGGGGGTGACCCTATTCGCGCCTCTATATAACCGGTAGTTACTGGTGGGGGTGAACTTTATATCAACCCCCAACCGGTGTACCTTATATTTATAAGGGCTGACACATTACCAAACCCCAACCCACTAGTCTAGGTTTTACTTTTACAGGGCGGGTGTATACTTTTTTCTCACCCCATTTTACTTTTAGTTATAAAAATAGCAACCCGCTCTGGGAATCTCTTTGACCTGTTGTCTCCAATACTTAACAGTTTTTCGTTATGTTCAGAGTTTCTTCCAGGCATTTCTTCGGGGGGAGGGGGGGGGGCGACGACGACGATCCCCCCTCCCCCCCCCCCCCCTCCGAAGAAAATGGAATTTATATAGAAAATATATACTTTTAACAGTGTCCGTCCCCCCTCCGCCCGCAAAATTTAGTCCGCCCCCCCCCCCCCACCCACCCCGAAAATTTCAAATGCCCCCCCCCCCCCCCGGAGAAAAAAGTCTGGAAGAAACACTGGTTATGTTACCAGATTCAAAGGAAATGGAATGAAGGCATGTGTGTTGTAAAAAACAAGTTAATTAAAAAGTCTAGTGACAATTTTAGCGCAATTTCCTTATGTTATCTAAAAATAGCTCTGTCGTAGCGTAAATCAAGAGCAGGGTTAGTAAAACCATTGGTTAGTTATTAAAACGTTTTTATTAAAAAAAAATTTCAGTATTTTACATGTTTTATTTACAATAGAGTTACATGACTAAAAACCATTGCGCGCCTAGCTACTGAACATGATGACGAAGCCATAGAACGTGATGGTGCAGCTATTGAACGTGATGACGCGTGTGGTGTGGTTGGAAAAAATGCCTACTAATTCGGTCCAAATTTTAATTAATTCAAAAAAAAATTTGTGACCGAACGAAAGGATATTTTTGAAAACTTTCTTCGGCAATATTGTTCTAAATTATGGCAGGAATCGATTGGTACATATTTCAAGTCGCTAAGTGGTCTGGTTGCCGAGATATGGGCCAAAAACTGCATTTTTTCGAGGTTTTTTGGCTTTTCCTGGAAATACATGAAAGAAACCCGAAATTTTTATGGCCTATGTTCATTCTCGTAACTTGCTTAACATAATTGCTTTTGGAACTAGTCATCGATATTGCTTCGTTGAGGAGGAGATACGACTTAAAGCCCGGACACACATTCATACATCCATACATTCATAGATTCATCCATCCATTCCCAGAAATGACGAGTTAATAAACGCAATTCTCCAGAATGGAAATTGCGCTAAAAAATATTACTAAAGGGAAATTACTGTTTATTATTTTTACATTTGAATATATATAGATCTATTACTCCGTTAAATAGGTAGTTATGGGCAGAGGCGTAGCGATGGGGGGGGGGGGTGCAAATCAGTTTGAGGGGGGGGGGGCGTTCAAATCAAAAGTTTGAGGGAGGGGGTGCAAATCGAAAGTTTGAGGGAGGGTGTGCAAATCGAAAATTGTAAGTTATTCCCCGGGAAGGGTCTCTACGCCTCTGGCGGGTGACACCATTAAGTGCCGCACCGGGTGACACCCGACCTCGCTACGCCACTCCTTTCTTCTTCTTCTTCGTTCTTAATTATTAGTGTTGAAGGGGATCGAGATTTATCTGCCAGTGGGTTTGAACTCGAGACTTTGTTCGAATTTATCAACCATGAGCTTTTTGCCGACTCGACCACGCCTCCAACACAATTAAGCGTTACGTGTCAACTGGTTATGCGCCATTGAGGCCATTGACTCCGATTTCAGCCTGCTTTTCTTTTTGGATTTGCTTCCATAGCCTTTGTCAAACCAAGAACAAACTACAAGGCAGCAGTTGTTTGATTTTGGAGTTTTCTCTCCTAGAAGAGTGGCTGTCCCCAGCTAACGAGCCTCATCTGCCCGAGGGTTCGAACTCGAGACTTTACCGACTCGACAATGCCGACCCCTTTTAATGGTTTGATTGTTGAAGTTTGAATTATTTATATTATAATGCCCCCCACCCACAACAGTTAATTGACCTAAATAATTAGGGGTTGTCTATAAATGATGTTACACTCCTAGGGGAGGGGGTTTGAAATGTGGCAATGTGTACCATGGGGAGGGGCAGAGGCATCACAAGGCAGGAGCTGCATGAAAGAAATCTCTGGTCATTTTCAGCAAAGTGGCGCCTATTTTGAAACTTTTTAAACTCAAAGTTTTAAACAATATTTGTTAGAGATTTATTTTTGGTCAGCACATCGATGAAAATCACTTACAAGATTTCTTTCATGCAGCAGTTATGCATATAGTAATAGACAATTATAAAAATAGCCATTACTATGTATAAAAAACCTCTACGTGTAGTAACACTTGAAAAGAGGGGTGTTAGGTTAAAGTCCACTGTATTCTGTATTTGCTTAAGATTTATTAAATTTTAAAATATTAGGCCTATAAATAACTCTACACAATATATATAAAGTTCGAATCGTGTAATTAATTACTATACAGACACAAATACAACTGATATGGCACCTAGATTCTATATTTAAATTTACTTTCGGGCGAACTACGTAGCGGTTGGGAAATTTTTACAAGGCCAACAGTTATCACGATAATGTAGTATTATGACAGATTTGAAACAGAAGAAACTTTATATTAATTACTATTTTATTTTACTAGATCTAGATTTATATTATATTTAACCAAGGTTATGTTTTGTATTTTAAAAAAAAAATCCAATTTAACTCAAATCCCCACTGACAGTGTAAATAATTATCCGCTCAGCTGTTGTATAGTTTGAATAGGTTTCAAATAGTTAGATCTAGTAATTTTAATTCTTTGGTGTATCAAACTAAATATATTGCGACCAAGATCACAGCGGGTATTAAATGAAAATAATTAAGTAAAGAAGAAATATTCAGGGTGGGAGAGGAAGAAATTGAAAGACATTTTCAGATCGCCAACTAACATCCAAATGTGCCAGTTCAAGTTTTTATTTTAAGTATTAGGTGTAGATTCGTACTTATTTCCCGCTCCCAATTTTAAATGTATATAAACAAAGGGGAGGGGAGGTTAAGTCTAGGATAAGTCGTAAAAAAGTAGTAAGTTTCAGATCGTTAGTAGATCTAGATAGATCTATGATTTGTTTAAGACCTAGAATCTAGATCTAGAATCTAGACCAGAATCTAGACTAGTATTAGATAGATCTAGATAATATAGAATAGAGTCTAGTTTAGATCTTGATCTAGAATCTAGTGAGTTTTAAATCGCCCGCGACTAGTTTCTTGTTATTGGTGTCACCCCCTCTCATTTTGTGAAATGGTGTACTGTAAATTATCACACGTTATTAAATCCACTTATTAATTCCAGTGAAAAAAACACCCTTTTTATTGTTAGTTATTAGAGTGTCACCCCATCCTGGTCATCAATCGAAAATATTCAGCCAAACTTTTTCCTCCCTGATAGCTTTAATTATTATATAATTAAAGATTTTAACATAAAGATGTTTATCTATGATCAGTTATTAATACAGCTGGTTATAGCATATAGAGATCTAGTTAACAGGTTTGTGTCATGGTGACAAAGCCCCCCACCCCTCCCCCCTACCTTTTCAGGATTGTCTATTTGAACTTAAAATAATTTTTAAATCTAATTAATATTCATTAAACTGGCAAAAATCAAAAAGCATATTTCTTCTATATATTTTGTCTTGGTGTCACCCGGTGCGGTCCGCACGCCCCGCTCCTGCCTTGTGATGCCTCTGCCCCTCCCCATGGTACACATTGCCACATTTCAAACCCCCTCCCCTAGGAGTGTAACATCATTTATAGACAACCCCTAATTATTTAGGTCAATTAACTGTTGTGGGTGGGGGGCATTATAATATAAATAATTCAAACTTCAACAATCAAACCATTAAAAGGGGTCGGCATTGTCGAGTCGGTAAAGCTCATGGTTGCTAAACCAAAAAGTCTCGAGTTCGAACCCTCGGGCAGATGAGGCTCGTTAGCTGGGGACAGCCACTCTTCTAGGAGAGACAACTCCAAAATCAAATAACTGCTGTCTTGTAGTTTGTTCTTGGTTGGACAAAGGCTATGGAAGCAAATCCAAAAAGAAAAGCAGGCTGAAATCGGAGTCAATTGCCTCAATGGCGCATAACCAGTTGACATGTAATCCTTAATTGTGATAAAAGCATGGTCGAGTCGGCAAAGCTCATGGTTGATAAATTCGAAAAAAAAAGTCTCGAGTTCAAACCCTCTGGCAGATAAGGCTTGATACCTCCCAACGCTAAAAATTAAGAACGAAGAAAAAGAAGAAACCATTAAAAACTATCAACTGAACCGGTGTCTGACCAACTAAACAACTTGAACTGATACAATTCCTAATAGGCCTTTACTATGATTTATGTCATCTTATAATTATATAATGTACAAAATTATCATTATCATGATTGTGCATTTCTATTTTTATTTTTTTAGGGACCCATATTAAACATTGCTCCAGTTTAGGATTAACAATCAGCAACAGAAAAGTCCACAAATTAGCTTTTTTCTGTATCATAATTAGCAGGGACATTTTTTTTACAACTGTAAACGGTAAACAACCTGAGCTTTATGTAGGATTAATTTTTATTTCTATAAAATGCTACTCGATTTTACTTTTTCTCATTGCTTGCCCTTTTAGGTATTATTTTCTGTCATTTTTTTAAAAAATTGATTACTAAAATTAAAAATTAAATTCTTTCAACAGAGTCTACAAAGCAGCCCTCCTCTCAATTCGTAACATCTGAAATATCATCTACTGACTACTGTAATAACAAATTGAACAGTTCCAAATTTATATTGTAAAGAACGCAAAGGAGCTATTGCCATCTTGGCTAGGAAAAAAAATAACCATACACCATAAGGGAGTAAAAGCAAACTAGAACTTGTGTTTCATCTAAAATTTTAAAGATTTTTTTTCCACATATTCTGGAAAATTTGATTAAACTGGTAACAAGTTACAGCATTAGCATAGTGATTTAAAATGTCAGGCAAAGGAAAAAAGGATAAGGGCCCAACTGCTATGGGCCCAGGCTCTACTATTGCAGGAGTCAACGACGTACTGAAGAAATTGATTAAAATCAATCTGTCGAAGCAAGGGCCAAGGGTTACCCTTAACTTTGGTTCTGTGGGATTCAAACTCCTACCTCTTGAGATTTTCAAAAATGAAGAGATCATGACCCTTACTGTTGAATTTTTAGCACAGTTCAACAGGCTGAAGAAGCTACCATCTGAAGTTGAAGTGCTGAAGAACCTGAGTCGCCTGGATTTTCGCAGTAACCGATTAACATCTATCCCTGCTACTTTATTTAACTGCTTGTTTTTGGAATATGTGAGTAATCCAAAAAAACACTTATAAAAAATGTTTTTTTTTATCAATTTCTGTTTTATCTTAGTTAAAAATCATTTATGTCTTTTAATTGTATTTATATGAACATAAAACGTTAAAATCTACTATTTCTTTTCAGGTTGACGTATCAGATAATATTATTAAAAGTGTACCCAAGACTATAAAGAATTGCTTATATTTACACACTCTTACAGTAGAGAATAACAAACTGAAAGGACTCCCAGCCACAATTAACCAGTGTAAAGATCTCAAACAAATCAACTGTCGTTTAAATCAGGTAAGGTGTCAAATACTTCAACTATAAATTAAGTCAGATCTCAAATGGATCAATTGCTGTTAAATCACCATCCTTATTATCAGGTACACTCTTCCCAACTACAAAATAATTGATATTAACAGAATATCTTAAAAGTGTGACTTTACTTTTAGAATATATATTCTATTTTGAATCCTTGTATTTCGTTTAACAAACTGTAATTTTCAAACACTAAAAAGTAAGGCCTATATGCTTAGGTTAAAAAACCTAATGTTTTACACCTCCACTTTTGGGTAACAAAAATAAATAAAAAATCTGTTTAAATTTAAAGTTGAATGTATAAGTATTTATATTTGTGCTTCAATTATTCTCATGTAATGTAATTGAAAACTTATCAAAACCCTGTATTATGCACAAGTACATGCTAAGCTTTGTTCTTAAAATATTTACACTCTCATTCATTCACTTCAGATAAAATATCTCCAAAGTCCTGTATGAAGTATATACTATAGTTGATTCTTAAAATATTTACACTTCCAATTATGAAAACTTTTATGAAATGCATGCTATATTTAATTCTTAAATTATTTTCACATCCATTCATCCACCTCAGATAACAAAAATCCCCAAAACCCTGTATGAAGTGCGTGCTAAGGTTGACCTTTCCTGGAACCGAATGAAGGCGCTCACCAGTGCTAAAATAAAAAATTCTGGCCTAAGTTGGTTAAATGCCTCACACAACAGAATTGTTACTCTGCCGGTCAACTTGGACAGGGTGTATACATTAACATACCTGGACTTGTCTTATAATGAATTAGTTGTAAGCGCAGTGTTTTTTAAGCCAGGGAGTCTGTATGCTTTGCGCCACTGTACCAGTCACTCTTTGAAAGGCTTCATTTCGCTTTTTTTATTTGTTATAGGATACTGTTACAAAGAAAATAGTGTCGGAAATGTATGCATAACTATGGGTTTAAATATATTGTATTAAAATAATTTATTTTTAATACAGCTGTAATAATCTATTGGCGAAATATTTTATTTAATTTCTTTTCTTACTTTGGACTGATTGGTTGCAAACCCCTGGCTTAAATAGTTATTTGAATTAATTTTTAAAAGTTTTAAAACCATTCTATTGGTTTGTTTCTCAGTATTTTGTTGTTGTTTTTCTTTATTCAGAAAAAATGTGATTTACAACATAATTATTTTTTAAGTTTTAATGTGGAATATTTAAGAAATAATTTACCGTAAAATTTTAGTCTTCTTTAATTTTGATGTTTACAGTTACTAAAATATTCATTTCCATCACAACATTATATTATCAGTATAATATAAAATTTAATTTGCCAGTTACATGAAGTGAAACAAGTAGTTTAAGTAAGATTTGTTGTAAACAGAATTATCTCCCCTCATTTAAACCAGATGACATAGGACCACATTTCTCATCATTGAAATATTATTTTATTAATTTAAAAATGAACTCCATCTTGTTTTAATAAGCACTGTATTGAAATATTATTTTTTAGAGATTGCCTCAAGAAATGACTTTAATGAAATTCCTACGAGATTTGAATGTCAGTCATAACCAGCTGACAAGTCTTTTTGAAGAAATGAATAAATTTGTAAGTAGCTAACCATTTACTCTAAAAAATGTAAAGATTTCTTCCTACTTTATTTTTATAGCTCTAGCACATGGGTTCCCAACCCTGTGCCCGCGGGCGCCATGGCACCCGCTGAACGATTCGTATGTGCCCGCCTCTCACTATTCGACAGAGACAGAATTTTTTTCATAAACATTATTTTAAAATATGATTTATTTTTATTCATTTGTTACAGTTTAATTTTTTTTTGACTGCCTATGTTTATTAAATATGTTCGATACTTGTCCCAACTTGTCTAGCGGCGAGAAAGACTGCACTATTTAAGCTAGCCTGGAATGGCTAGTGCCATTTGAATAATTTTTCAGTTCAACATATTTATGCGAATCATTGTTTTCAAACATGACCTTAATAAAATCAAGATATAGATCTCGACTCAACAATGAGCATCTGTATGATTGTCTGCTAACAGGATCATCGTCACACGCTCCTAATTATGAAGCTCTGGCCAATGAAATGCAATGCCAAAGATCACATTGACTTTATTATATTTTTTAATTAAATATTTTCTTTGTATTTATGTGTTTTGTTTACTTTCTTTATGTTTTGTAAATACATTTCTCTGTGTGTATGCAATATGAAAAAAATGCCAAATAATTTTATTATTTTGAAACATCTTTGTTAATACATTATTATTATTTATTAATACATTATGACTATAAGAAAATAAGAAAATAAATTATGGGAAAATGACAAATTAACGAAGGAGTTAGTCGATTTAAAATTGGTGGTGCCCGCCACCCTATCGATATTTTAGAATGTGCTCTAGAGTAAAAAAAGGTTGGGAACCCCTGCTCTAGCAGAAGAATATAAAGCAGCAGTTACCGTTGTTCACTCCCTTTTAATATTAATCTAGTGTATGAAAACTTGGCTGTATTTCTAATTCATGAGTTTAAAATCTAGGAGAGGTGGGTAGGTAGTAAGACTTTTCAACACCAAGATATTGCAGTAATTGGACCTGTTGGTGCCATGATATTTTTGACTGCTGGACATTTCGATATTAAGACATTTTGACAGCTGTACATATTGATGGCTGGACATTTTGATGCCAAGACATTTTCCTGACTGCTGTACATATTGGTGGCTGGACATTTTGATGCCAAGACATTTTCTTGACTGCTGTACATATTGGTGGCTGGACATTTTGATGCCAAGACATTTTCTTGACTGCTGTACATATTGATGGCTGGACATTTTGATGCCAAGACATTTTCTTGACTGCTGTACATATTGGTGGCTGGACATTTTGATGCCAAGACATTTTCTTGACTGCTGTACATATTGGTGGCTGGACATTTTGATGCCAAGACATTTTCTTGACTGCTGTACATATTGATGGCTGGACATTTTGATGCCAAGACATTTTCTTGACTGCTGTACATATTGGTGGCTGGACATTTTGATGCCAAGACATTTTCTTGACTGCTGTACATATTGATGGCTGGACATTTTGATGCCAAGACATTTTCTTGACAGCTGTACATATTGGTGGCTGGACATTTTGATGCCAAGACATTTTCTTGACTGCTGTACATATTGGTGGCTGGACATTTTGATGCCAAGACATTTTCTTGACTGCTGTACATATTGATGGCTGGACATTTTGATGCCAAGACATTTTCTTGACTGCTGTACACATTGATGGCTGGACATTTTGATGCCAAGACATTTTCTTGACTGCTGTACACATTGATGGCTGGACATTTTGATGCCAAGACATTTTCTTGACTGCTGTACACATTGGTGGCTGGACATTTTGATGCCAAGACATTTTCCTGACTGCTGTACATACTGGTGGCTGGACATTTTGATGCCAAGACATTTTCTTGACTGCTGTACATATTGATGGCTGGACATTTTGATGCCAAGACATTTTCTTGACTGCTGTACATATTGATGGCTGGACATTTTGATGCCAAGACATTTTTTGACTGCTGGTCATTTTGATATCAATACGTTGTTGCGGCTGGATGATTTTTTAAAGTTAAAAATAAATTTCTTTTAAAATTAGAATAGATCAGATTGTAATGTTTTTAAAAATTTCATCCAGTTGATAGAAAGTACTTGATGCTTTTTAAAATGTTGAATTTTAAAATTTCAAATTTTAAAATGTCAAATTTTAAAATGTCAAATTTTAAAATGTCCAATTTTAAAATGTCCAATTTTAAAATGTCCAATTTTAAAATGTCCAATTTTTAAAATGTCAAATTTTAAAATCTCGAAGTTTAAAATGCCGAATTCCAGGTGTACTCTTTGGCCACTTTGATAGCTAACGACAACGCCATAACAGAATTGCCCAACGATCTTGGTCGGCTGAGAGTCTTACAAGAACTTGATGTTGCCAACAATCAGATTGAGGAGCTCCCAGAAGAGATCACTGACTTAAGGGACATGCGTGTAGGTGGTTTTAGCTCTTCAATAGATGAAGTTTGTTTCTGATCAATGTTTTCTAAAATTAAGTGTTTTTCAGCTCCTTGGAAAGTTAGGTATTTTTAAGCTCCTTAGTGGATACAAAGTTATCCAGATCACTAGCTTTAACAATAAAATTACAAAACTAAATATGCCCTGTTGATTTTTTGATGCATAGTTGTATTATATAAGAGTAAAACTTATTTTTTTGTTCTATAAACAACTGTTGTACTATGATACAAGGCAATAGTTCAGCGATGGGAGTTTTGTAGGTAAAATTTATTTTAGCGCATTAGGTAAAAACCTAGTAGTTTGAAAAAGCTGATACGCAGTCTGATTTTCCCACATTCATAATATGGTGGTAAAATTAATGTCAATAAGTTGGAGCAGAAATGATTGAAAATGTTTTTTAAGCCAATTTAAATCAAAATGCAATGTTAAAAATTAATGTTACAAGTTCATGCAGTCTCAGTATTTGACAGAATCTGAAAATGATGTACCTCATTTCTCTGTTCACAGTATTTTTAAACTAAATTGAAGAAAATGGGTAAAAAGTTTTATATTTATGAAATAAGGAGAATGGAAACATACCCGTGTTAATATGGAATTTATTTTATCGTTCAAATACAAAATAATGAATCTGCCAAACATTAGGCAAAACACTTGCCTGGTAGTGGGAATGGGAAGATGGCATTCAACAGTCAAGTAATTTTCTCTACGACTGGTTTTAAACCCCATTGTGAGAGGTGCTATTCCAGTAGCAACACAGAGTATTCATTTGCACCATTGGCTATTCCTAGTTACCAAATTTTTAATAAGAAACGTTTCATTTTTTTTATCCAGCAAATATTTAAAATAGAAATTAAGCAAAAAGAAAATTAAAGTATGTGTATATATTTATATATATATATATATATATATATATATATATATATATATGCAAATTCATTGTCTTTTAATACTTCTTTCTGCATAAGTTATAACGCTAATAATACAATAAACCACACATGCGTTTGCACTATGTAATATATGTCGTATCACTGCCACCCTGCTATTTTTTGTCCAGATCATTGATTTGTCTGGGAACAAGCTACAGAACATAGAAGTCCTGGTGAACATCCCAACACTTGAGGAACTTAAGGTAGCCCGGAACAAGATACAGAAGCTGCCAGAGAACATCAGCAAACTCAAGAACCTCATCATCTTTGATTTCTCCAATAATCGGGTGAATACCATCCCAGAGTCTTTGAACACGTAAGCTCATCTTTGAAGGAATTTTATTTTAAAACAATATTTTTTATCAAATAGAAAACTGTTGTGGCCTGTTTAACTGTTTGTTCCCCTAATTCATTTTGTTGATACTTTGTAGATACAAAGCCATCAAAAACAAAATATATGACCTCCTTTTTGCCATCAATATTTTTTTGCAGTATCGTTTCACTGAAAGAAGTTGTAGCATCGGAAAACATAATTACAGAAATTCCTGATACATTTGGAAAATATCAGCTGCTTCGTAGACTTGAATTAGAGAATAACAAGTATGTTAATAACAAACTTTTCATTTTATATATCATAAATTTGTTGAAAAATATGACACTAAAACAATTTAAAAAAAAAAGATTTGCATGAGATGTATCTATTAGTATTAATGTATAATATTTTAACCCTTTTCTTTTTATAGGAAGAATAAAATAATTTTTAAATTACATATTAAAAAAATATGTAATGGCTATGTTCAATTAGTCGATAGTGCACTTTGTAACCTGCAATACAGTTTGTATGTAGCATAGCTTTGTGTTGTGAATTAATAATTGAATTCTGCTGTTTTGTTTTCTTATTCTTCTTCTTTTCAATTGTATTGTTGAATGGGATTTCCTCCAACACAATTATTATGTGTCAACGGGTTATGCACCATTGAGGCCGTTGACTCCAATATCAGACTTTTTTTTTTCGATTTGCTTCCAAAGCCTTTGTCCAACCAATAACAAACTGGAAGGCAGCAGTTGTTTGATTTTGGAGTTGTCTCTCCTAGATGAGTTGCTGTACCTCACATCTGACTCGGGACTTTTCAGTTTATCAACCATGTGCTTTACTGACTTGACCACACTGACATTAGCTTTATTTTGATACATTTTATTCTATTCTCCAATCAGTCAATTATCCCTTAGCCCCTCGGGCGCCACAATTGATTACTTTCAAAATTTTCTGCTATTTTTCTGTAATATTCATAATCCATTCTTGTGTGGTGTAAATTCTATAGAATTGCTACCTAATTGTGGATTGGATTAATTTCAGAATCAAACAGCTCCCTGAGGATATGCGACGTGTGAGGACTCTGGAAATCCTGAACCTGGCAGGCAATGGCTTCATGTCCCTCCCTGAAAACTTAGAGATCATGGAGTTTCTTCGGGATTTAAATTTGTCAAGCAATAATTTAACTGAAGTTGTTTTTAACAAGACTTTGGAGGTATGTTCATCTGTTTTCTAAGATAAAAAAAAAATGTAGTGTGAGCAACTATTATTGAGTTGATATCTTTCTTAATAAATAGTACAAGTTAAGTAACCTTTCTAACCTGATGGTAAATAAACAACTGCTGCCTTGTAGTTTGTTCTTGGTTGGAAAAAGGCTATGGAAGCAAATCCAAAAAGAAAAGCAGGCTAAAATCGGAGTCAATGGCCACAATGGCGCATAACCAGTTGACACGTATACTTAATTGTGTTGGAGGCGTGGTCGAGTTGGTAAAAGCTCATGGTTGTTAAACTCGAACCAGTCTCAAGTTCAATCCCTCTGGCAGATACAGTTCGATCCCTTCCAACAGTAAAAATTAAGAACGAAGAAGAAGGGACCCTGACATATGAAAGGATAATGTGGTCAGCACTATGCCCAGCCACATTTTGTGATGGTAACAACAAAAACCCATCTCACCTTTCAATTTAATCTATACAAGCTCGAGTAAAAAATATGTATGCATATTTTCTTCTATTCACAGGAAGAAAATTTCTAAGCATATAATATTATTCATATATGTGGAATAATTATATAAATGTGCTTTATTTCTGTTTTGCAGGTGATAAACATAGCGAATAACCCCTTGACCCCCTACAGCGAGACCCCAAAATGCGCCCTTGCTCGGATAGGAGAAAGTCACCATGTAACAAGGGTGACCTTCTTGGATTTGAGAAACATCAACTTGGATGCATTTCCCCAAGGGATTTGTTCCCTCAGATTATTGGAAGTCCTGAAGATCTCCCAAAATAAAGTACGAATTTCCTTATAGAATCACTATCTCGTTATTCTGTTTTTTAGTTATTATCTTATAGGTTGGTGGTTTTGTTTTTCTTATCATGTAACTGGTTAATATTCTTTTTAAATCATTTTACTGGTAAATTATTTTATCTTAATACATTTTTTAAAAATAGTCTGTCTACTGAACTGTGGTTTTATTTTCAATAACCATCCCACGAATTAGTTATTACATATTCATCTAATTGGTTTTAAAATCATTTTACTGGTAAATAATCATCTAATGCTTTTTAAAAAATTTATTGTACTGATAAATTGCTTTTTTAAACATCCTAATAAAAGTTTTTTTTTAAGTCTTTCTAGTGTACTGTGGTTTTACTTTCAGTAACCATCCCATGAATAAAAAAAATTTGATGTAAAACATTTGAGTAATAAAATATCAACTTCCCTTTCTACAGATCAAAGAATTGCCTCAAGAGATTGGCAATCTAAAGAACATGGAACATTTTGATGCCAGCCATAATGAAATCAGTGAGATTCCTATCACCATAGACACGATGCACAAACTGAAGTACCTGGATTTTTCTCACAATGAAATTGTTAAAGTCCCCATGAATGTGGCCAAGGTAGGATACTTTATAGTGTATAGTCATATACACACACAAACACACGTATATCAAGATACATACATACATATATATCTATAAATATAAAAATTAAATAATTTTTTGTGGGTTTGTCATCCAGTCCCCATAAAACTTTGGAAAGTTGTTGAGAATGCTCCCACACAGGTGTTTTGCAAAGAAAAATGTTGATTTCGGAGGGGCGTCATCCCGGCATAGTGTGATTTGGAGTCTTGGGCTCCACTCATCAGTCCTTCTGCCCCTACATTTAATTAAAAAAGTGTGATACACTTTGGATATGTTGTGCTACTACAACCAATCACTAATTAGAATTAGGTGCATCCATCGGTGGATCGGCGATCAGGTCACCTGCAGCACCCTGGGCTCCTCTACAATGGCGCCTACATTCATTTTAAAGAGCACCATACAATAGAGACATGGAGCACAATATTCGATTATTAAACCAAACAACTGTACAAGACTTTCAGTGAAATTGATGATGCACAATATTGTAGAAGCAACAATTTTGGGTGGTAAATTTATGGGTGTAGATGTGTTGTTGCCAAATATTCCAACATAAATACCATTTGAATTTAAACTTTTGCAATTTCTGGTGAGTCTTGCTTTTGCAATGACCTTAAATAAAGCACAAGACCAATCACTGCAAGTGTGTGGATTAGATTGGCAGCGTCCATGTTTTTCGTATAGTCACTTGTATGTGGCCAGCTCCATATGTCAGAAAATCTTTGGATTTATTCGTCTCTGTGCCAGAAGATAAACAAAAACATTGTATACCCACAGGCACTCGAATAAATACATTGAATTTAAAACAAGGCAGTAAATGTTTATAATATCAAACTAATTAATCAGTTTCAATGAAAAGAGTACATTAGAGACATCCTACAGACCTGATAGAATTATTCCTAGGACCAATCTTATCTATTATATGAAATTCTAAACCCAACAAAACCGTAATTAATGCCAATTTAATGTATTCTTTCTTCAGCTGAGCAAAATCAACTACCTGGATTTGTCCCACAATGTCCTAATGGAACTGCCAGAGTCCTTCAACCGTCTGGATCACCTGATCAATCTGGACCTCAGCCACAACCAACTGAACACTTTCCCCGAGGCTAAAGTGGACGCTTTAGGCTCTGTCTTAAACCTGGACTTATCCGTCAATAAGTTTGAGAACTTTCCGGAGGATCTGGCCTACCTCTGCCGGTATGGTTTTGAACCTGTTACAAATGTTTTTAGGATTAAACCTTTTCACTAAATATAAACCTTAACACCACTAGTACACATTAATAATTTATATATCAAGGTTATTTACACTAAAATATAAACCTTTACCGCATTATTGCACATTAATAAGTTATGTAGCAAGGAAATTTACACTAAAATATAAACCCTAAGCCTCAAGTACCCCACTATTACACATTGTTAATAATTTATTTTGCAAAGATATTTACACTAAAATATAAACAGTTACCCAACTGCTACACATTAATAATAGGCTATATGCTAAGGAAAAAATTAAAGCACTGACAGTTCTTAGGACAGATGAAATATAGAACTTACCAGTTTCTACAACATAAGCACAGTAGAGTTGAGTGGTCAGCACTAACCCCCACTGTGACTGAAGCCTGGGTGGGCAGGACATGTACAATAGCTCTAACTCCAGACTTTCTGAATAGTTAGTAATAAAACAGTTACCTCACAAGTTAAAGACAGTTACAAATACTATGGACGTTTTGACCCTAGGTCTTTGTCAGCTCACAACAGTGTGGTCTACCACTTCGCAGCCTTAATTTAAAGAAAAAAAGAAATCAAAATGCAAAAATAAGCCAAGAAATATTTTTAACATTGCTTCAATCCAATGGCTTACGCACTTAATCCGGACCGATCCCGTTTCATTTTGTAAAGGGAAATAACCAAGCAAGGATGATTTTAAGTAGTTTTTAATTGAGTCGTTTCCCTTGGTAAGAAAATTTCTTATCTCTGAGATAACACTGAGTAGGCCTATATAATAAAATTAAAACTCCCTAGTGAATGTTAAATTCATTGATTAATTTTCATAAAAACTTACAGAAGAGAATTTTGGACACCAAAACAGTTGATAAAATTTAGTTTTCAAAAGTCGCTTTTAAATAAAATACAACACTGTTATGTCACTCTTTCTTAAAAACACACATTGTCACACAAGTCCCTCACCTCTTTCTTTACTATGAATGCCAACACTGAACATGGATAAACCTGTAGACAGGGTCAACTGTCACCAATAGTTGTAAATTGCTGTAAGACTGTCATTTTGTGGGGACATAAGTTGGTAATGTTCCAACAGTAACAGAATTAGTGTTGCATGCATTCAGTACTGTAAGGTAATGTTACTAACAGAATTAGTGGTGCATGCATTCAGTACTGTAAGCTAATGCTACTATTAGAATTAGTGTTGCATGCATTCAGTACTGTAAGGTAATGTTACTAACAGAATTAGTGGTGCATGCATTCAGTACTGTGAGCTAATGCTACAATTAGAATTAGTGTTGCATGCATTCAGTACTATAAGCTAATGTTACTAACAGAATTAGTGGTGCATGCATTCAGTACTGTAAGCTAATGTTACTAACAGAATTAGTGTTGCATGCATTCAGTACTGTAAGCTAATGTTACTATTAGAATTAGTGTTGCATGCATTCAGTACTTTAAGCTAATGTTGCTAACAGAATTAGTGTTGCATGCATTCAGTACTGTAAGCTAATGTTACTATTAGAATTAGTGTTGCATGCATTCAGTACTTTAAGCTAATGTTGCTAACAGAATTAGTGTTGCATGCATTCAGTACTGTAAGCTAATGTTACTATTAGAATTAGTGTTGCATGCATTCAGTACTTTAAGCTAATGTTGCTAATAGAATTAGTGTTGCATGCATTCAGTACTGTAAGCTAATGTTACTAACAGAATTAGTGTTGCATGCATTCAGTACTGTAAGCTAATGTTACTAACAGAATTAGTGTTGCATGTATACCTTAAGCTAATGTTACTAACATAATTAGTGTTACATTCATTCAGTACCTTAAGCTAATGTTACTAACAGAATTAATGTGCATGAATTCAACTTCCTTTCTGTTATTGATTTTTTTCATGCTTTTCGCTAAAATTATTCTTAATCATATATTGATCTCGCATAGTTTATCAAAATCTTTCCCTTCTTCAGAAAAAAAAAACAATTTAATACTCAGTTTAAGTTATTCTCTGTTAGCAAAGAATAGAGGTAGATGCAGTCATGCATGAAAATGCATCACTTGTCTATAATAGTTGTTTTTCTGAAGGAAATCCATTTAGGTCATATTTGTATGATGAACATGTAGGACATCTCAACAGGACAGTGTTAAGTATCCATGTAATTCACCCCTATATTACCCACATGTAGGACACTTTTAGTAGGACATCTGAGTAGGACATGCCTGAGTTTACTCTCAGCTACATCTTTGGTAGGACACCACAGCTACTGAGTTTATTCAACTGATAGAAAAGTGTGTAATTGTCAGGTGGAGTGATGTTTTTAATTATATAGAGAAAATGTGCTTAGGTTTAGCTCCAAGCTTACATGTGATTTGATGTGATTTGATGTATTCACTGACAGACTAGGCTTAGCTCGGAGCTAACATGTGATTTGATGTATTCACTGACAGACTAGGCTTAGCTCATACTGGCTTAAACATCTCTTTCTCCAGGCTAAGAAAACTAAACTACTCACAAAATGTAATAAAACATCTCTTTCTCCAGGCTAAGAAAACTAAACTTCTCACATAATGTAATAAAACATCTCTTTCACCAGGTTTAGAAGACTAAACTTCTCACTAAATGTAATAAAAACATCTCATTCACCAGGTTTAGAAAACTAAACTTCTCACAAAATGTAATAAAACATCTCTTTCACCAGGTTAAGAAGACTAAACTTCTCACAAAATGTAATAAAAACATCTCATTCACCAGGTTTAGAAAACTAAACTTCTCACAAAATGTAATAAAACATCTCTTTCACCAGGTTTAGAAAACTAAACTTCTCACAAAATGTAATAAAACATCTCTTTCACCAGGTTTAGAAGACTAAACTTCTCACAAAATGTAATAAAAACATCTCTTTCACCAGGTTTAGAAAACTAAACTTCTCACAAAATGTAATAAAAACATCTCTTTCCCCAGGCTGAGAAAACTAAACTTCTCACAAATTGTAATAAAACATCTCTTTCTCCAGGCTGAGAAAACTAAACTTCTCAGAAAATGACCTGGCCGAACTGCCAGTTATCGTAAACAAGATGAAGAACCTTGAGGAGCTTGATCTCCATGACAACCTGATAGAAGAGCTGCCAGACAACATCTGTAAGATGAAGAAACTCCTCAAGTTGGACATCAGCGACAACAAAATAAAAGCATTCCCAGAGAAGTTAAATATTTTGCAAAAAACTTGTGAGGTAAGAACAGGTTTTACTTTTAGGACATATCAGGACACCTAATGTCATGCTAAATATCAGGACACCTAATGTCATGCTAAATATCAGGACACCTAATGTCATGCTAAATATCAGGACACCTAATGTCATGCTAAATATCAGGACACCTAATGTCATGCTAAATATCAGGACACCTAATGTCATGATAAATATCAGGACACCTAATGTCATGCTAATATCAGGACACCTAATGTCATGCTAATATCAGGACACCTAATGTCATGCTAATATCAGGACACCTAAGGTCATGCTAATATCAGGACACCTAAGGTCATGCTAAATATCAGGACACCTAAGGTCTCACTAAATATCAGGACACCTAAGGTCATGCTAAATCAGGGGTCTCCAAACTACAGCCTGCGGGCCTCATGCGGCCCGCGAGGTCCTCTCATCCAGCCCGCGAGGTCCTCTCATCCAGCCCGCGGAGATCTTTTTGTTCACGGAAAAAATGTTTGTTAGAGGTGGCTGAGGAACTTTGCCCATAAAATTTAAAATAATTTGAATTTTTAGCTTTGGGTGCAAATAACGTTGCCCTCCGTGTTGCAGACATTGATGAAAAGATTGTGACTCAAATAGTCAGAGCCGGCGTTAGGGGGTGGCAAACGGGGCGGTCGCCCTAGGCCCCGCGCTTGAAGGGGCCCCGCGCTTCAGCAACGCCATTGTTGTCTGAATTAGTTTGTAAACTTAAATAATCTTTGCTGAATTAAATTTAAAAAAAAAACTAAATGGCCGAAATTGTTGGATGTTAAAACTGAGGCTACGGCTGATGTTAGTGAGTTATCCTCTACATGGACTGGTACAGACCGTTATTCTAAAGAAAGACATTAGTGTCACACATCGCTGACACGGTCGACGCGTAAAAAGATACCCTATTGTTTGCAGACCGTTGAAGACGTTTTTTTTTTTTTTTAGTGAGAAGGCGGGGGTGCCTGTAGTAAACAGTCAGTGACCTGATGATGGCTTGCAGAGGAGGAGGGGGTGGGAGCGGATGGGGACATGCCCCGGAAATCCAGAGTATTTATCCCTAAAATCATAATTTATACACTGTATGGGCATCTTTTGTGTAACATCTTTTATGCATATTCACCACGATACGTTTGATAGGCATCCATACAGTAATTATGTTCATATTTATTTTATATATTGTCAGGTCATCTTTAAATACATTATACTTGTATTTATTTTTATATTTTTGAAGGGCATTTATACAGTAATTATGTCCATTTTCATTTTGGTAAACTTTAACGGTATTTGTAAAGTAATTAAGCACATGTTTATTTTAATTAATTGTAGGGACAGTGGCGTAGCGAGGTCGGGTGTCACCCGGTGCGGCACTTAATGGTGTCACCCCCCCCCCCTTCCCGAGGCGTAGCGACCCTTCCCGGGAAAAAAAATTCAAATTTTCGATTTGCACCCCCCCCCTCCTCAAACTTTTGATTTGCACCCCCCTCAAGTTTTCGATTTGCACCCCCCCCCCCCCCCACACACACACCTCCCTCAAACTTTCGATTTGCACCCCCTCAAGTTTTTCTCTCTATATTTTTTGCCATGGTGTCACCCCTCTAAAAGGTGTCACCCGGTGCGATCCGCACCCCCCCCGCTACGCCTCTGTGTAGGGATATTCAGTATAATAGTTAAGGCCATAGTGATTCTTGTTTTAAAATAGTGTAGGCACACTAAACAAATTATAAAGTCTATACTGTTTGATACATCGGGCCGAGACTGTTTTATGGTAAAGTTCTCCTGATTTCTAAAACGTCTAAATTACCGGCAGTCCGAGCATGCCATCGCGAAACTCATAAATAACATGGTTCACTTTCTAATTATAGACACGGACCTTCTCTTGTGAGAATGCGGTCTTAACCTGTAATGTAATACGTGGACGCTCTATACACACGCACCTTCTCTTGAATGGCTGCGGTCAGAGATCCAGTAACGTTTGACCCGAACTGATTTTTTTAGGGTTTGGCATCCCATAGATTTAAATGTACAGTTATCCTTCACGGGCTTCACCTCACCCCACCAACTGTCACCCCCCCCCCCCCCCAGTGTTCCACCTTACTGAGCGTCCGTGATTACATTTGAGAGTCATTTCCTTTGGATATCGATAGCTGTAAACAGTGTTTTTCACGATTCGAGCTTATTCCGAAATCTATCAATGTTTTGCTATTTTCCCCGGCATCCACACACTTTGAATGCCCCTGTTAACACTCGATAAATTGAGAAAATGTCGATACTATCACCTGCCACTGTGGACCGATTTAACGTTGCTTCAAAGTGCCCGAAGGTATTAAGTCAGCCAAACAGTGCCTTCAGTACATTTGGAGTATTCGGGATTCCTTTCCCAATACGGCGATCGCCTACAGAATCTTGCTAACAGTTCCAGTCACGAAAGGGAAGAAAAGTAGATCTTCGTTTGTGAACGTACTGGTAAGATTTTCATAAATAAACATTAATGTAAAAAAATCAGGTTTGAAGCTGACGTTCATCGTCTCTTTAATGCGTGTATCAAACTTATATCTGTTTTATTTTTTACTTTTCAAACAAAAAGCCTTATCAGAAACAAGCAACGTTTCAAAAGCACTTCTAAGTAAACAAATTATTTGTTAATCAGTGTCTTAATGTTAATACGACATTGATAAACAGCTTAAAAATACCATATATATCGTTATAAATATTAATTCGCGTTGAGAAGAAAAAAAAAAACGCCTCACTGTACATGTTTTATTTAATTATACACCAATGAAAAAAATATAAGGCCCCGCGCGGATGGTTGGCCATAGGCCCCGCGTACCCCTAACGCCGGCTCTGCAAATAGTGAAAACTGCTAACAAGTTTCGCAATTTTTCAATTGCAATGGATGAGTACAGGGCAACAACTTGACGCACTTTCAGCAGTGTGACATCTTCACGGCTGAAGCAATAGCTGAGTTCCCCACAACATTTGCATGCGAGATCATCAAGGACTCCCAGCTGCACTTTCAGTAGCGGTTTTCTGACTAGGATTCAAAGGCAGAAGATGTTAGACTGTTTTAAACCTCAATTGAAGCAAATGTGGCCGGTTGCCCCAGATGAACTGCAGATGGAGGTCATTGAATTGCAAACGAATGACTTCCTTAGAGACAAGTTAAAAAAATGGCGGGTGGGTTTTGTGTTTGCCCAAGGAGAACAAACTTGGACCTTGAGTGTGTTGTCAGTCCTTGACAGTGTTTCTTTCATGCTAAATAGCAGAACATCCGAGGTCATACCAAATATCAGAAGACACTGAGGTCATGTTAAATACCAGAATACATTAGGTTTTACTAAATATAGATCAGGTTTTACTAGTTACCATATTACTCAAGATCATACTAAATACTTACACCTGAGGTCATTTAAATACTAGAACACACGATGTCATGAAAACACTAGCCCATAACAGTTAATTGTAAAAAAAATGAGCCAAACACAAATAATCTTTGGACTTTGTTAGAATGAACAGTTTCAATATTTAGAATTTGCGCTTGTATCTTGTGTATTTAGAATACACATTTTTGTACTTCCTTTCAAAACTTTTTCAGTACAGTGTACTACAAAGGAGAAGGTAACGTTACATGAACCTGTCATTGTAATCTCCCCTGACTACAAACGCCTTGATTTATTTAACTAAAATTGTACATGCATAACAATGCTGGAATATTTATTGCCTTTTAGTTAAAAGTAACTTCAGACCAACATCCAATTGATGGATGTGAATGCATTTAAAAAAAAAAATATTAAGAAACAGTTTTGATACATTTTAAAATAAATATGGACAGCTTTCTAGTTCTGCTTTTGAAATTCTCTACAAAATGTTTTCAGATCAACAAAGACGATCAAAATGCCTTCAAGAAACGCAAGTTGTCCGTAATAGACGACTTTATTTCCTCGGATAAAGAGTACTCTGACGAGGTGAATGCTGACCAACAAAGTGTTGAGGCCGAGCAGTCCGAGTCTGTTGAAGATTCAAAACTCAAGAAAGTCAGGACCAGCAAGAAGTCTAAGAAATAAACTGGATGTGAGGTATGAAATTTATTTTTATTTTTAGAGTGACTCCCCTTTCTAGTTGATATAGGGAATGAAAATACTTCAATACATGATTTAGTATTATTGATCCCACACAAATCTTTGTATATAATTGTATTTATTTTGTCGCCTTTATTGTAGTTGCTAATTTTGATCTGATGCGGATTAATTTGTTCACATTCTCAAAGCATACCACTCATAAAACACAACATTGTATTCTTGAAATACCCAACAAATCTAGACTTTAAGGTGATTGGCCCCATACTTAGTTCTGGGATTTTGCTGAATTATTCATATCTTGTACCTTTCTGAGTAATGCCGGAGGATGGTTGAGACAGTTGGATATGTATTCTTAACTTGGACATTTTCTATTATGTTAGGGTCATTATGCTGCTTATTAGAATATCCTGTCTGATAAAAAAATCTCTAAACTTGTGTTAATTTATTCAGTGAGGCCTGTCCTTCCTCTGTATTTCTTTTATGTTTACTAACATTTTAAGCCTCTTTCATTTAAAAAAAAAATTGTTTTTAAAATTTTAAACTTAAAATCAATTGATGTGTCTCTAAAGTGGTTTTAAACATCTCGCTTTTATAATCGCTTATCTCCCTTGCATTAACTACTTTTAACAAGTCATTTATTATGACTTATCCCCCTTGTACTAACCAATATGGTTGGACCATGCTAGAAAAAAATAGCTTCACAAAGAGAATGTTAAAGTACCCATTTGCTGTAGAACTCTTTTATCCATCTTTTTAGCGGATAAAATGAAAAGTTACTAATGATCTTAGTTTCAATTATTACTACTTCCAAAGTCATTAGTCACTAACTACATTTATTGATTAAAGGTGGTAGGTTATAATTACTTTGAGACTGAACACTTTTAAGTTGGTTTTTATTTATTTTTCAAGTGTGTTTAATGAATGGGATTGCTAGTGGTTGGTTACTTCATCAAATGCCAAGCCCCTTGGAATTTTTTCTTTCTGCTTTACCAGTGATTGACAGTCAATGTTTTTTAAGTCATCTTATGAATATATCCATTAGCAGAAATTAATTATTCTAAAATGTATTCACCCATCTGATTATACATTTACTTTATACATTTGGTTTATGCACATATGAGACACTGAGTTAATTTGCTTTTAAAAAAAAATTCAAATAGAGTTTTGAAAATGTAGTTATTTTTGTTAAAGTTGTATATATTTTAATGGATGGTGAGACTGAAATTCTCTGGTACTTAAATCTATCATTGTGGGTTGACATTTCATACAAATACCAGTCATGACTTGGGTTTACTGGTTATGGGTTTAAGTCAGTTGAAAAAAATAGTCCCTGCTTTTGTTCACACATCTCTACTAATACAAGTTGAAATTTAAGCAAGACCCAAGGGAGCTAATACTAAGCTTGTGTCAAACAGAAAGAGTTATTGTCCCTTGAAGTATACTATTTCACTTGGTATTTTTCATGAGGTTATGAGTTGTGTTTTATTGGGTACTGGTTAAAGCTACTAAGTGTCAAGAGTGCTGTTTAAAATATTTTATTTACAACCCACCTCAAGTTTCACAAAAAAAAAATAATTAACAGTCTTGTTTCTTTAGTGGTAGAACGTTAATGTACAGGCCAAGACTTGAGTGTCTCATCTGTTTTAAAATAAAATTGTATGGTTTACCTAGACATTAATATTGTACTAACTTGGGTAGAAATTGTACGATTTTAATTTTTAATGATATTTTAAGCACTATAACAGTTGTTCAAAATGACATTACTTGTTTATAAATATTTTTGTTATATTTATTTTACTGAACTTTATTTATTTATTATTATTCTCTCAGACACAACACAGTGATGTTTGTGATGTTTGTATGAAGAGGCTGGTTTACGTTTGAAAGCAATTTTGTATATAAATAAAACTTAATAAAGCCAAAATGTGTGTACATGCCTGTTTATATGTGTGTGTATGTGTAACAAGCAGATGCACAATATTAGTCACTCATAAAATTGATACATTTGTATATTCTGTACTTTCAGCACACCTTTGCATCCTTAAAAAAGTTAAAGCAACTGATTCCCAAGCTAAATTCTAGGTGAGGCTTTGTTTTTTATTACACTTATTAACTCTTCCTTTATCTATAGTATAGTGGTACTACATTATAGTGGTACTATATTATAGTGGTACTATATTATAGTGGTACTATATTATAGTGGTACTATATTATAGTGGTACTATATTATAGTGGTACTATATTATAGTGGTACTATATTATAGTGGTACTATATTATAGTGGTACTATATTATAGTGGTACTATATTATAGTGGTACTATATTATAGTGGTACTATATTATAGTGGTACTATATTATAGTGGTACTATATTATAGTGGTACTATATTATAGTGGTACTATATTATAGTGGTACTATATTATAGTGGTACTATATTATAGTGGTACTATATTATAGTGCTAATATATTATAGTGCTACTATATTATAGTGCTACTATATTATAGTGCTACTATATTACAGTGGTACTATATTAGAGTGGTACTATATTACAGTGGTACTATATTAGAGTGGTACTATATTACAGTGGTACAATATTAGAGTGGTACAATATTAGAGTGGTACTATATTAGAGTGGTGCTATGGGATTCTGCCAACATTTAGTGTTAAATTATTTGCATGAATATCTTATTTTCAGACACTTGTTAAAGTAACTATTTTCTATATAAATTATTGATTTTTTTTTCTATTTCTCCCCCCCCCCCCCCTCAATCACCCACCCTATGGTGTCTAAACACCTTGCACAGAAACTCTCATGCAGAACATTGTCTTTTAGTATAAAAAAATTGGTAATTCACTGGGGGGAGTAGGATGATTAGAAAACAATGAAAATATTTGTAATTGTCTGCCCTTCAGTTCATTAACATACTGACACTAAATAGAAACTTTTAACCAATTGCTTCCCCTTTTGTGTTAAACAACACCTGTTTGAAACTGAACGAACAAAGGTGTGAGGGGGTGGATGATGAAGTAACATATGTTAGAAACGATTGCATAACACATGGGCTGTTGGGAAACAAGGTGTACAGGTCACATGATATCTCTGTGTGAGCAGTGAACATAATGACTCTCAGATCTGTTTGTGTGTGTTGTGTATATATATATATATATATATATATATATATATATATATATATATATATATATATATATATATATATATATATATGTGTACATATATATATATATATATATATATATATATGTACATATATATATATGTGTATATATGTGTGTATATATATATATGTATATATACATATATATATAATATGTGTATATATACATATATATATAGAGAGAGAGATATATATATATATATATATATATATATATATATATATATATATATATATATATATATTATATCTTTCAAGGAAATATGAAGATAACAATTCTAAAATCTGTATATAGATGTATAGAAAGGCACTAGATGTCTTTTCCCAGTATACATTTTCTGAAGACCAAAATAACAATTCTTTAATTAATTATAATGACATCTGGCTTGACTGTGCCGTCCCTAACTAACAAACCTCAAGTTGAAATTAAGATTTTCATTACTTTTTAAGTAGCTTGACATTTCTTACCAACCCACAGAAAGAAGTTTTACCGATGTTTTTATTTTTAAAATGGCTGTTTAAAATGAGTAATAACAGTCAGATTTGTTCATAATGTTGTGGCTTAAAATTTTTAATTGGAATGTTGACCATATCAAACATATAATTCATTTTTTTTTATTGAAAGAATATTTATGTAGGGATCATATTTCCTCATAATCTCAATAAAATATTATAGCTAATAGTTTTTCATAACTTAAATAAAAACTGTTTTGAAATTCAAATAAAAGATGTATATTTAATTTAATAATTTTTTAATTTAACTAGATT